CAGAGACAGACACAGAGACAGACACAGAGACAGAGACAGAGACAGACCAACAGACAGAGGGCACTGACAAATGAACAAATGCAGACTGAAGCCGAGAAGTAACCGAAGACACACAGACAAGAGGTATGCAGAAGCCGAGGCGTACACTTTATTAGATTGAGAGGCATGCTGACCCCCCCGTAGACATATGACCCAAACTTAGGCCCAAAGAAAAGATATGCTGACCCAAGTGCCGTGAGAATCTGCATGTGTATATATATATATATCCGCAGCTGTGCTTCATAAATTGTCGCAGTGCCACGACCTCCCACGATACTCAATCCGGTATACGGATCCGGCTGTTTCCCACACGAGCGCAGGATCTTGATGGCTGCCTACGGATTGCAGACTGCGTCACAAAAGCGCTTCCGCTTGTTTGTTGACTATCTAGAAGACTATTAGCATGCGAGTGTGCTGGGCGAAAAGCTTAGCGTTGTCAGTGGTTACTTTTGCAGATTCTTCGCTGGGTTTGTTTCATTGTTTAAACTCCTGCTGGGTTGGTGCGGTGACTTCTGGACGCTTTTGCGTGTGCCTGTCTTATATGCCTTCGTATGAGTAAGCCATGTTGACTTGCTCCTTTATTTTGATCCACACGAGCCAGGTCAACAGTTCTTCCTGCCATTACCAGGCCTCGATGCCGGGTTTTGAACTTGAAAGGTGAAGCCCCGACCAAAAATGAAAAGGGGTGAACCCCCCAGCACAGGAACACAAAAAGGAGATGGCTCACTCCGAATCCATGGGTTCCCTTTGTGTTTGGAGTTGCAGGCATCCTTTCACGATGCCGCTGGCCCATGCCTTAGCAACGAAACATTCGTTTTGCACTCCTAAACTGAAAGGGGAGGATCTTTTTCCGTGGCCGCTTGAACCTGGCGTATGTGGCACCATCGCCCTTGGACTGCAGAGCACACCCTGAGCACCATGGAGCTGTTTTTTCCTCCATTGCGTTCGTCCATGCGCAACACACCACAGTGGCGGACATCTCGAGCCGCCCCCCAAAGGTTTTGGTGGAGTTTGTTTGTAATGTTTATGTTTAGAGCTTAACGTGCATATTGAATGGCCCTTTTGGAGCTTCCAAGGTGCCGGAGACAGGAAGTTCAATCGACAGGCGTGAAGGAGAAAGAAGACAATGCCAACAAGCTTAACCGTGGCATTGCGCATATTGATGGAACAGCAATCCCTTCGGGTGTTTGATCCGCAGCAGTTTCATGGGGACAACATTGCACTTTTTGGTTTGATTTTTTGCAGTTCCGACCAGGCAAAAAACCCCGCAGGCTGGGAATCCTGGAAGCGCTGTGACATGAAACTCCGTTTAGCTGGCAGCCCCCCAGGAGGAGACAAAGGACGAGCACTCGTTTCCCCAGGCAGGAGAACCACCGAGCCGAATGCTATACGGTGATTCTCAGTGCTGAAATCACATGCAGTGGGTGGTTCTGTGACTTGTGTTCCTGGGAAAAAAGTCCATTCTTGAAATTCCGCAAGCTGACAGCTCAAGCCGCTGCAGTTACAGTTGCAACCACAGCCTTTCAGGTTACAATTTTCCTTCAACTTGATTGATCGGTTTCCAAAGAAAACACATCCTGAAGCGAAAATTATTCCAGTATTCTTTTCTAGGTCTTTGCCTTTCGCCATGGCAACGGAGCCTGTCCATTTTCGAATAGAAAACCAGTTTGCATCTGCTGGTGTGCCGCGGAAGCTCTGTGAGAAAATGCCTCAAGAGTTGTATGGCCTGCTTCCCGGTGCAGAATACCAAATGCTTAAGAGTCGTGTCGACAACGAATTCCGAAGCATTGCAGACACATCTATTCGGCTGAACCCGTTTCGATTTGCCTTATATGGCCTCCAGGGATGCAACATAGCTGCAGTCGTGGTTATGGCGATCGTTGACGTGTTCTTGCTTAACGAGCGAAGTGTTGCCCTTTATGTTGCTGAGGGCTGCGCTGTGGTTCTTGGGACCGGGCTCATGGCATTCGGCTTGTTCTATTTGAACAAGCTCTTGACCCGTGAAGCGCTGCAAACAGAAAGTAGACTTCAACAATTGCTCTCTCAGCAAATTGGGAGCTGTCCCATGACATTCAAGCTGACAGTTGAAGCGCGTGCCCGATTTCCACCGATCTATGGCATTGTCGCCGTGCCTATGCAGATGCCGTTTGCATCAGCTTGTCCCGATCACCTCCCAGATATGCTGCCCAACATGGTGGAAACAAAAGCTGGAGCCAATTTCTGCTGAACAAACCGATGTGGAGGTGGAAGGCCAAGCACACCGCCACAGATGCACCTTTCATGGCAAAATGGTGCCTCCCAACTGTGCGCTACCCGTTTCGGGATAGTGTCACACGTGCATGAAAAAATGTGCCCTTTCTAGGATTGAACTGGGTGGCCACCAAGGCTTCTCATCTCGCAGTCATTGTATTTATGGATGTTCATGTTACATGCGCAGCGCGGCACTCAGTGCCAGGTCGGGGCAGGCCAGGATGGATGGACAGCTCGTTGATTGGCCTTGCGGTGCCAGTATTTAGATTTATTTGGCTTTGGCAGGAATGGACAAAAGCTGTGAGGGCTTCAAGGCAGTGAGCTTTGTGAAATGTTCTAGTACCGCCTGCCAACCAACAGCGCACGAGGATGAGGAAAAGTGGTTGCCTCCTGACATGGAGGCTTCAACTCCTATGGCATTAAGGCCAGCTACTTGCAGCTGCTTGTTTGTGACACGGCATGTCTGTTTTTTTAATGTTTTTGGCAATGTTAGGCCCGGTTCTGGTTTGAAAAGGGGTTCTCAAGGCCTCTCTGGGTCTCTGGGCCTTTGGACCTTTCTAGACCTCTAGGTCTCTAGAGGTCTAGCTCTCTCGACGTCTAGCACCTCTCTGGATCGCAAGACGACTGGATCTCCAGCTCCCAAGCGACAAAGGGATCTGAATCTAGACCCTGAATCCTCTAGGTTTCCAGGCTTCTGGACTTCGAGATTTTGATATCCCTGAGTCTCAAGGCTAAGCCTCTAGATCTCTCTGGTTCTCTAGGCATTTAGATTGACCTCTATTCCTCTGATCCTCTAGACGATGCGCCTCAAATCAACATTTTTACAGGGCACATCAGACATCTCAAACACTTGGTGCTCTTGGGTGGGCGCTGGCTATCATGGCAGACAGACGGCAGACAATGGACTGAGGCACCCAGACAAAGTCCGGAACCAGCGCTTCAGCCGCAAAAAAACCTTGGATTTTCTTGAGACACTTGGCTGCACATGCTGAGTGCTCCATATTGTTGAACATTCATACAGCAGCACTAGAGTCTGCGCAAAATCAAAGAAGCTGGCTGGCTCTCAACATTTCACGAACCAGACCTCCCACTAAGTAGCGGTTGTGTGGATACTGGATACTGGCAGGATGGGACTAGTGAACAACCCCAGGAAACACCAGCCTCAGTGCTCTTTTCCTTTTTGGGCCGGCTCCAAGGAGGATCCTGCAGCTTCGGTTTCGAGAGGGGGATTCCTGGCTGCACTGCGATGATTTACATGCTTAAGCTCTATTGAAGAGTTTGCACGGTTCGTTGTCCAATCAAGGACAAGGTGCTGAGCAGGCTTGGCTGAGGGAGATCTTGGAAGCGTTGCGCGTGACAGACATTCTCTCTTAGGTCTTAGGAAGCTAGGAAGAGACACGCGCACACACGCACATTGGGGAGTCCTTTTCTCCTATTCTGGTGTAGGTTGGGGAGCAGAAATGGCGTGCCTGCCTCTGAGCAAAATGCCTTCCTGCCTGCGGGTGCATTCTTGCAGCTTGACGCACACACACACACACACTCTGACATTGGTTTGCTGTTAACTCAATTCCCACGTCGAGAAGGAAGGTGAGGTAACGGAAAGGTGCATGAGTCCGCAAAACAGTATTGTTGAAAAAGTGTTTCCGAAAGCGCTCAAGTGAAAGTGGCGTTCAGCAGCTGCAAAGCGGAGGGAAATGGTTTGGCGGAGGTATCATGAACAACCATGGAAGCAAAAAATGGAAGATTGGACAGCGTGATCAACAGTTAAAAGTGCAGGTACACGGGGATGATCAGTCCCCGCATCCTGGTCGACTGCATGGAGCTTCGTTGGCGACAGCCATGCAGCGACCCTGTCGCCCCGTGCGTGAACCCTTGGAAACAGGGGTTGACACACACGGTGCCGCTTGGCGGCGCTCGCGTGGAAGGCCTGAATAGATACCTAAAAAGCCTTAGAAACAAAAGAAAGAAGCACAGAAAGAGCAGCGCTAAAAGGGCTGGGGTAGGGAAACGCGCCTCAAGAACAACCTAAAAAGCCTGAGAGAAAGCCCAAGAAACAATCAAAAGCGCAAGAAAGAAAGTGGGGGCAGGGAGGGGATGTATGTGGCATGTGTGTGTCCGTGTGTGTGTATGACTACCTAGCACTCTAGGGTTTCTGACTACTTAGCAGAAACGAATTACGTGCAATAGTTAGGGAGCGGGACTTTAGTCTTAAACCGCCCGGGTAGAGTAGACTAGAAAAGGGACAACAGAGGGAAAGGCACCGACACACAAGTGTGTCGAGTACCATTTCCCTGTGTTACCCTAATTAGGTAGGGAGTAGAACACGGTGGGGGGGGGGTTGGGAGACCTGCCTCCAGTGGGTTGAATTCAATTTTTTAGCCCGGCGGCTGTAGTATCCGTAAGAAGCCCGGCGGCTGTCAATCCTGTTAATTCAGTATGGGCATCGAAGAAGTGACAGTGATCCACGATGAAACGGTGGTAATTCAGGAAAACAATTTCCGGCATGAAAACAGCGCCTCCTTGCGGAGGATCACACCCAGCACCCAAGTGGAACGGCTGAGCGGTTCACACTCTGACATTGGTTTGCTGTTAACTCAATTCCCACGTCGAGAAGGAAGGTGAGGCAACGGAAAGGTGCATGAGTCCGCAAAACAGTATTGTTGAAAAAGTGTATCCGAAAGCGCTCAAGTGAAAGTGGCGTTCAGCAGCTGCAAAGCGGAGGGAAATGGTTCGGGGGAGGTATCATGAACAACCATGGAAGCAAAAAAAGGAAGATTGGACAGCGTGATCAACAGTTAAAAGTGCAGGTACACGGGGATGATCAGTCCCCGCATCCTGGTCGACTGCATGGAGCTTCGTTGGCGACAGCCATGCAGCGACCCTGTCGCCCCCTGCGTGAACCCTTGGAAACAGGGGTTGACGCACACTTATGGATATGCGTACTGACTTGACAGCGGTGCCACACGCGAGCCTAAGAAACCCGAATCCTGAAAAGACCAGGTGAAGGGGACCTGAGTTCCTGTAGTTAAAGGCCACGAACCGACGAAACGACAAGCTGACGGCGTTCCGTGCGTGCCTGCAGTAACAAGAAGAATCATGTCAGTGAGGTTCTAGGCTTAGCCTCGTGCCACTCCGTGTAAAAAAGGCAGGTACGTAGTTCTGGTGTCCCAGAACTATATCGCTGTGCGACAGATGCGTCTTCGTTGGCTGGAGACATCTGAAGCACACTCCAGCCCCCTGCTGAAAACCGCAAAAGCTCAAAACCTCTGAAAACGAGAACAATCCAAAAGGATCCCTGTGATTCCAAGGGTTACACACACACGCCTCCCCGAGGGGAGGCGGAAAGCTAAGGTGAGGGCCAATGTGCACGTGTGCGCGCACAAGACAAAAGAATGAAGACATGACAGGAGGACGAGACGGGACAAAGGTGCGTGTGGTTGAAATGGAAGTGGAACCAAGTGCACAGGGACACCCGATGAAGCCCGCCTCATTGTGAAGACCTGGGCGACCTGAAACCTGCGTTTAAAGGTATGTAGAAGTGCACGTACACACTAAGGCCGGGACCGATGTGCACGCAAACGAAGAAAAGGATGAGATGAACAGACATGAAGACAGGGGGACATGAAAGAAAAGAGGAAACAAAAGTGTGTGAAGGGGAAGGGGTGAAAGGGGAACCAAATGGAGGGGACGAGAACCGATGAAACCAAACCTCATTAGAAGCACGTAGGGACCTGCCTCGTTTGAGTGTAAGCGCTGTGTGTGCATTTGAGGTTGGGACAGGTTCCAATGAACCTTAAACTGGCTTTGACCGCTCACTGTGGTCACCTTGTGCCCTGCCGAAATGGCTGGCTGCTTTGACCGCTGCGGTCACGTAAAGGCATGAGCCAACTTGGAATTCCAAAGATGAGACAAAAATCATCGTACGTTCGGCCTAGGCCACCTGCTGTCCGCTCCGGACACTTACGTTTCCAAAGCAAGGGAAACAACGACAAACCCCCGTTCGACGGGTCCACGGGAGGCACTCTGCGGGCTCATCCCGGGTTGGCGCGAAGCCAAACACACTTATGGATATGCGTACTGACTTGACAGCGGTGCCACACGCCAGCCTAAGAAACCCGAACCCTGAAAAGACCAGGTGAAGGGGACCTGAGTTCCTGTAGTTAAAGGCCACGAACCGACGAAACGACAAGCTGACGGCGTTCCGTGCGTGACTGCAGTAACAAGAAGAATCATGTCAGTGAGGTTCTAGGCTTAGCCTCGTGCCACTCCGTGTAAAAAAGGCAGGTACGTAGTTCTGGCGTCCCAGAACTATATCACTGTGCGACAGATGCGTCTTCGTTGGCTGGAGACATCTGAAGCGCACTCCAGCCCCCTGCTGAAACCGCAAAAGCTCAAAACCTCTGAAAACGAGAACAATCCAAAAGGATCCCTGTGATTCCAAGGGTTACACACACACACACACGCTCAAGTGAAAGTGGCGTTCAGCAGCTGCAAAGCGGAGGGAAATGGTCTGGGGGAGGTATCATGAACAACCATGGAAGCAAAAAAGGAAGATTGGACAGCGTGATCAACAGTTAAAAGTGCAGGTGCACGGGGATGATCAGTCCCCGCATCCTGGTCGACTGCATGGAGCTTCGTTGGCGACAGCCATGCAGCAAACCCGTCGCCCCCTGCGTGAACCCTTGGAAACAGGGGTTGACACACACTCTGACACTTTTATTCAGTGAACTCAGTTACCACGTTGGGAAGGAAGGTGAGGGAAACGTAAGGTGAAAAAGTCAGCGCAACTGAAATGTTTAACAATCTGTTCACTCATCTGCAGAAGCGCGGCTGAACGTCGGCGGCTGAAGGCAGCGGTGGGAAACCGGTTTGGGGGGTGGTAGCATGAAGGACCATGAAAGCAAACCGATCAGATTGGACAGCTTGTGCAAAAGTTGGTCGCAGGTACACACAGTTGATCAGACTGTGCATCCACCGACAAGCATAGCTTTGTTAGCCAGCGTTTGCTTGTCGGCCGCTGGCCCCCTGCATGTGACTGAAAAAGGTGGTTGAAAAACTGTGGAAGGAGTAGCGGTGGAAAACCCTTTGTCCAGGGGTGGACACACACACACACACGCTTTAAAACTCAGAAAACATACTGTACAACGGCCTTGCACCTGCTTTTGTTCAAAAAACATTTGGTTACATTTGGGAAAAAGGGATCTTCCTGAGCTTCCTGGCGGGGCAAGCAGGCATTTTTCTTGACATGAGCTTCGTTACAGCTACACCGTTTTTGACAGACATTAGTTACTATTCCTTTGAACTTGTATTAGAAGTTTGGAAAGCAATTTTAATTGAAGGTAGCTAGAGTAATAAGGTGATTTTCTGAGACAAGTGGGTTTTCAAGTGCATTTAATTACCTTTGCTTGCAAATCTGCCTTTGCACCACAATGGCATTCACCGGCAAACAGTTCTTCTATAAACTAGCAAACTTTTCATGAAGGCTTTACTACACGAACGGAACGTATTTGCTCAAAGGATACCCGTATACAGCATTTCTTTACTGTACTTTAGTGCACTCAAATTTAGACATAACAGAGAACATTTGCAGAAAGAAGACTTTCGCAAAGATGACGACTTTCCTAAAAGAAATCTTTCATTTACAGAAATGAGTAAACCTGTATATAGAGGAGTAGACTCTGAAAAAACGTGCACAGGCTCGCACTGGACTCATGATAAAGCAAGGGTGCTTTTATGATGCAATACCACGATTTTGTACTGGGGTTCATGTGAAGGACATTGCAGTAGCATTTGTTATGTTTTGCTGTTGTTTCATGGGGTTTGATTTTGAGCAAGTAGTAGGCAATCGAATTTTCTTTAAATTGCAATTTGGCTGCATTGTGGATGTTATCACATATACAAATATATGTAGGATGAGGTAATACAACTCTACTTTGATGACATGGGGCTCTTACTGGGATCAGGCACATCATCCTATTCAAGACGCTTCGCGTCGACAGCCGCCCACACCGCGCACGAACATCCGAAGTTAGTGAAATGGAGCTTCACGGGGTGATGCTGTAATAAAGGAGGTTTGTGATTCCTAAGTCAGAAGTGAAGGAGGGTCAGATGCGAAAAGAAAGAGGGAGTAAAAGTTCCGGGATTTTGGGGGCAAGTTGGGCTATTGGGAGCTCATTTTCGCCCGATCCCGCGGTCAAGTTCGGCCAATACGTGGTCATGTTGAAGCTAAGTTGAGCTATGTTAAATCGTGTTGAAGCTATCTGTCAGATATGTTCGGCCATGTTGTTGGCTTTGCATCCTAAAACGCTCTCCCCCAGCAGAACCAGGATTTTAAGTGAGCTTCTGCGAACTATTTTGGCTCCAAGTGGGGGACGAGTGCAGCCATCTAGGTGCCATGGTGATACAACTTCGGCATTGCTAAAAGCCATCCAAAAGCACACCTCCAAAACGCTACCCCCAGTGGCCCTGCAGCCGAGCAAGAATCAACGCAGCAACCACCCCAAAACACAAAAGCTTCTCCAAAACGCTCTCCCCAGTGGCCCTGCAGCTCAACCATAGCCACGCACGCGCGAAAAAATAGGCCCCCCCGCCCCCTAGCAGAGCTATATGCATAGGATGTTTTGCTAAAATGCAAAGCTCGACGGCAAGAGCCCCAATAGCACGCCCTGCACCGACAAGCGGTGTGGGCGGATTTTTTAGTGCTGGGAAATTGCAGCCCCTTTGGTACCTGGGGGCGGGTAGCATACACACACACATATATATATATATATACACATACATTTTTGTATGTATCACTTACAATTTAACGAGACATTTGGTGATTCAGTGATTTTGGATATGAGTGCCCTCTGCAAAGTCAGTGCGCACTTGCTGCTGGGGTCCATGTTTGTTCCATCCTCAGCTGCTTTTGTGCACGTTTATCGCCCAGTCGGACTAAAGCCTTTGGGACATATCTTTCCACCGCTGCTATAGAGCCAATGCACAACACATTTCAGACAGAGTTTCAACAAGCAAACAAGCAAACAGTTTCTTCAACAATTGCGAATCTTGAAGGAAGACCAACACCTGGGGTTCTGACTTCCAGCAGTGCTAGTCCAAGAATTAGTGGCAAGTCCAGGATGTGTTTGCAGCTCGCCTTTTCTCGGCCCGCAGTTCTTCTTTAAATTGACACAGGCCCTTCTTGGAGACCATGATGGAAGTTCTGAACCAGGACGAGTTGGATTCATTGTGGCTGTACTTGCTAGTGGCATGGACACAAATGACGCTGTGCCCCAGGAGCTTGGCGAGGAGGCCTTTGCCTTCGGTATCAACATTCTGGCCAGCACGCGGCGTTATGCGGCTGAGCCTGAATTCGCCAGCTTCCTGTCCGTGACACCCAGAGCAGGGACCGAATCACACTCATTTGAATTACTGTAATGATATTCATTGAGTGTTCAAAAAGAAGGCATGACTGCTTGAACTAGTCACGAGTCTCAAGTTCTGTAGAATTTGCAAATTATCCTTCTCATCGGTCCTTCCACAAATTGGCGACTTGTCGTCTAATGTCGTTTGTTGCCCAAAGGGCTTTTAACTCAAGGCAGCAATGGAGATTGCGGCTGGCTAGAGGGGAGTGCTGGATAGTAGTATATATATATATGGTCTGAAGTTGTAGCAACCCCGGCCGGTCTGGTTGCGTGGACTCCAGTTTGTCTCCTGTTTGCCTAGGATGCTCCTCCGTGGTCAGGTCGGGGACCTCGCGGTACTTTGACTGCAATGAGCCCGGGTGGGATTTCCACGCTCCGGGTCCCCACAACCAACGGGCTAGCACTTGTGGCGATTGTGTGGAACGAAAGGCAATGAAGATTACAAACGAGCGTACACACACACACTGAACAAAAAATAGCAAATTGTGCCGGACCAGATGCGTCATATTGTTCGCAGGTCCGGGACAATCGCACGCTTTGTGCCGAGATCCTGAGGCAAGTGGATCCGGGAAATTCTCGCAACGGTTGCACAACATGTGCTGTTTTGAGAGATCCTAGGCAGTCTGATCCAAAGATTTAAACACTGCCCGTATGCCGTGCATGCATTGCTACCGAATGTTTCAGCACGCAAACCCGCTTCATGATTTGATGTGACCAGCCAGCTTTTATACACAGCTTTTAATCTCCCAATGGGCTCGCACCGTCAGCCGCAGGATTTTCCGCACCTATTTCGAGGCAGGTGATGGGCAGGGAACTCGGCATGTTTTGACGTTGGCATCACATTCTTACCGTATCTCATCCAAGGTCGACGCGGGTGACAAAGGAAAAGTTCTTCAAAGCCTTGCGCGAGGCTCCTTCCAATTGAAGTTTGATTTTATTGCTCACCTGTGGCGGCGGAGAAGGTTCTACCACACAAGGAGAAGCACCACTGCCAGGAGGGGAACTTGAAGTCTGACCAGAAGTAACTCCTGGGCAAAGCACAGCTTCATATTGAAACAAGCTGCAGCATTTGGGCATCACATGACCAACCAGATGTAGAAAATCACCGGCCGGGCTTTCAAGATCTTTCAAGGACAAGATCGGGTGCGCCCGATTTTCTTCAGTCTTCGAACCAGACTCAGTTGAAGAACCTGGTGGAGCCCACACGAGGTATAGTATAAGGTTCCCTTTGAGATATGCAAGAGCATAAGCTGTGATCGAATGGAGCCAAGCCATGGCATTTTGGTCTTGGGCTTGAACCCGGGCCTGCAACACATTCTTCGCTTGCGTTCGCTGGACCTTGGCCAGGACCGTCCTTTTGTTTGAACTGGGTGGCGTTTGTGCTGCCAATTGCAGGGAAGTCTTCAAGTCCTTCCACTTTGTGGCAGGTTAATCGAGCAGAAGCTCACACCCTTGGAGTCGGAGGGAAGGGGCAGAATGCGGCAAAAGCTGCATGCACTTTGGCTTTGGCATGTGAAAAGGCCAGACGCCGTCGTGTGACAGTGGCTCAGTTCTTGGGTGGCTACACTGGAGAGCAAATTCGTCAGCTGCAGGAGCAGGAGGGGATTGAAGATATCACAGTGGCAGGTGCCATGACCCGCGAATTCATGACCTTGGTGGATTTCCCCCAAGACTCAACAGACGGGATCAACCGGGTCGATGAAGATGGGTCAACTCCGTGCTTTGCGACTTCCCCAACGGTCTCGGAGCTCATCACGCCTTCTGAACCCGTGAGCATGGCCGCGGCCGAGGAACTCTTATCGAAAGTAGTCGCAGTTTGACTTAAAGGACGAGACACGTTGACAGAGACAGAGAGCAAGAGAGTGTGCAGTGAGACCATCAAGCTCTGATACCGGATGTGGTGACTTAGGCTGCTGCTCCTACTTTCAGGGGCATTCTTTTAATGGGGACATGGCCGAGCCCTGATTCAAGCAGTCTCTCACATTGATCGATTTCAACTTCTTCTGGTTTAGTTTAGTGAGCCATCAGTTCTGAACTGGTGGTTTCCCCAAACCCATCCCTGCCCCTCCTTTTTCCATTGGCTTCTTTGAGGAGTGGGACCACGCGAGACTTCTACATGGAAGCAGCGAAAGCCAAGGCCAATGACGCGGTGGTGCTTTTGGATGCCGCCAAGCCCGTGCAGGTGGACATAGCAAAAGAGAGAGAGAGAGAGAGACAGAGATAGGGAGACAGGGGAGGGCCATATTCTCTTGTGTGCGGGGGGGCCATTGTTTCTTCCTCTCCTGATGCCCTCAAGGCAGAAGCAGTAAGGCAGCAACAAGCAAGCAAGCATGCATGCATGCACGCACGCGCGCAAGCACGCAAGCAAGCAAGCAAGCATGCGCGCAAGTAAGCAAGCAAGCAAGCAAATAAGTAAGCACGCAAGCAAGCACGCAAGCACGCAAGCACGCAAGCACGCAAGCGCGCAAGCGCGCAAGCACGCAAGCACGCAAGCACGCAAGCGCGCAAGCACGCAAGCACGCAAGCGCGCAAGCACGCAAGCACGCAAGCACGCAAGCACGCACGCACGCACGCACGCAAGCAAGCAAGCAAGCAAGCAAGCAAGCAAGCAAGGAAGCAAGGAAGCAAGGAAGCAAGGAAGCAAGGAAGTAAGGAAGTAAGGAAGCAAGGAAGTAAGGAAGCAAGGAAGCAAGCAAGCAAGAGCAAGGAAGGAAGGATAGGAAGGAAGGAAGACCCGAGGGTAACAGAACAAGAATGAGCAATTCCAATTTGGAGCATACTTCACCTGTCCGCCGTGCCCAACCTAAACAGCCAAGCCACAACGTGTGGAAAGCTTCCGCAGCTCCACGGTGCCGTAAAGATGCCCCTACAAAATGTAAATAAGAACAACTCAGCCGACTCAGCCCCCAAAAAACACACAAAAGAAAATTTGGGCACGGAGACAGATTGATTAATTTGAGACCAGCGTTCGGCCACGACTCACATTATACGTACAGTATATATACATATATCATGTGCCTGCCAAGCATGTTTAGACAGAGCAAGATGCTGAAGAGGACGTGCTTGACATCCTTGAAGCTGGCAATGTGGACATCTACAAGGCATGTAGAAAACCTGAACTAGTCTCTAGCCCCTGGCCCGATGCATGGTGATTTCTATATATGGATTCGTTCAGGTGAATGCAATGGAGATCTGCAACCTCATGGGCTATGGGTGCAAGGAGGGCGAGGCATCTGAAGAGCAAATCCGCGAAGTAGCAGCCAAAGCGCCGCGAAGCTGCAAGTGCATAGAAGAGCATGTCGGACATGTGCAGGTCTGCAAGAGGCAAATGCGTAAGGATCATCAATGATGCTCTCCATGAGGGCTAAGCAAGTGATTCAGCCAAGACATTTAGTGACGAGTCAGGGAAGCCGACGCAACAAGACTAGAAACCCTGTTGCTTTGTTTGCTTCGACTATAAGATGAGGCTTCTACGTTTTTCTGCTGTGAAACACCTGGCAATCACAGAGTCTTGGCTGACTGATTAGTTTACCGCAAAGACCAGCTATGCTGAGTATGGCTGAGATGTGGATTTGGGAGCGAAGTGCACAAAGGATAGACTAATTTGGGGTGACCAAAACACAATGCGTCTTTATATCGCACGATTTAGCATTCTGTCAGGCATGATGTGAACATGAACATGCATGACTAGCAATCTTGGTACGGTGATCCATTTGATTCCCGGGTATTGAAGGTGGTGCCAGGCGGATGGTGTTTCCTGCAGAATGCGGCCAATGCGGCCTGCAACGAAAGCTTTGGGAATGACAATGTGCTTTTGTCTCACTTACTGTACATGTTGGCGCAACGCCTCAATAGCTTTTAGGCGTGCGACTGAAACGTGTTTTTTCACTCTCAAGACTTTCATGCCCACGTCGAAAGGCGCGGAATCCAACTGGTGGGGTCTGTGGTGCTCCTACTGTCACTTCCTTGGCCCTTGCTTTCTTGTCTCGGCTCGGCTTTGGCCTTTTCCTCAGGTTCTCTTTGGTCTTGTGCATCTCCTTTCGCCTTGGGCTCCTCTCATCCCTTCTTGGGATTCATCCTGAGCCCGTCTCCCCATCTAGGTCGCATCCAGGCCTATTTGCGTGAGTGGTCAGGCTGTTGAACTTGTACGACTACAAGTTCAGCAGCTGCTGATACGGGTGGACATCCTTGAGAGGAGGTTCAAAACTCGATTCAGGGCTGCCAGACATCAATCCAGCAAGTTGGAGCCGCCGGACCTGGATTGGGGTGGCCCCCTTCCACTCTGACGCATCGCTTGTTTTCGGCTAGGAGGAGCGACCTTCCTCATTGGCCTTACAGAGTCTGCAGAGCTAGTACAGCGCAGGGAAGATGGCTGTCACTGAAAGTCATGAACATTTACCTTGAAGAAGTCGCTGCCTCGACGTTCATGAGTGATATTGGAAGTGAAGCACGGACCATGATACTTATGGCCATGGAATCCTACCCACTGGTTTTGCAGCTGGGCGCGCAATTCTCAGACTACCAGTTCTCTGAAAAGACGTGGACTTTACATTGAGCTCGCAGGAGGTGCGCATTTTGATTTTCCATTTTGCAGCCACTTGCAGCCACTTGCAAGTGACTGCCAAGTGGCTGCAGGTGACTGCCACTTCTGTCCGGAGAATATCATGATTTCCCCGCACGCAGTTCTGAAGAAAACCAAGATTTCTGCAATGCTGTTCTGCGAAGAAATTCCGGTTTTCTCCCGAGCTGTGCGCGGAGAAATCATGCAATCCAAGACTTTTCCGAGAATAAATTCCAAACTTCTGCAGAGCTAGCAACGAAGAAATCTTACAAGTTTTTAACTAAAAAACTCAAGGTACAGTTGAAGTTTACTTGCTTGAGTGAAGAGTGGCAAGTGGCTGCAATAATCAAAATGTACGTCATTTGCTCGCTCTCTGAATTTTTCTTTTCAAACAGCAAGGCCTTGGTGTCGCAATGACTGGGCCAGATGGGAGTGATGGGTCGAAAAGGCCATCCAAATGCTGACCCACCACCACACAGAAGAGAAACGCTGGTGGAAAAGAGAGTGCGTGGAGCATTCCTATATAATGTTCCTTTTGATGTTGTTTTAAGACTTAGCTTTTTGCAAGCCTCGGGCGAAACCGTTCCGTAGATGGCAAGTGGAGTCTAATCCGCAAACTCAGGAGCTTTTCGGCGCCGACGCTGAACTTGACACGATTCAGAAGTGTGAAACTTGACGTATCTGTTCCAGCCTGGCTTAGCAAATGCGGACGCAAATGCGTACGCTGAAGCTCTAACCAGGCCTTACCAGCACATAACAATGTAATGATGCCGAACATACTCCGCACTTCAACTATGGGTTCAATTCCTGAGGTGGTGGTAGCAAGCGGTCGAACAAACAGTGTTGGTTTTCGTTTCTCTACATTGTCAGGTGTGTGTTTGTTTCTGGTTGTGCCCTAGGCGGTTAGTTTGAGAGAAACAGAGTCCATTACACACACACAGAGCACACACACACATATATATATATATACACGGGCTTGCGGGCATTTCGTGGCCACCGGCTCTGGTAATAGCACGCCGCAGCAATTCTTTGCTCACTAGATGTGTTGCTTTCTATTTATGTATGGTTGTGGTTGCACTTATTGATGACCCCTTCTACTGTGGTATGTGGTGCGGTACACAAATTTGACAGCCTATTTGCCACATTCCTTTCTCAAATTTTTGATATGTTATGCTCTTTCTGCCTATAGCACAAACTTTCACTTGTAGAATTATTCCTTTGATGTTCCCATTGACATTGCTGAAAGAATAGAAAATATGCTTCAAGAAATGTTAAGCATTACCGAAGAACAGGTTATAAGAAGGAACCCAAACAATCCCGCTTCAGATTCGGAAAAGAGATCCAACTCTGTTTGTTCTATATGTGTGTTGTAACTCCTTTGCCAACAAATCAATCATTAAACGTTCATGCAGAACAAAATGTACAAAATTATCTTCATGGAAGACACCTGCATAATTGCCAAATGCCTTTTGTGAAAGCACTTCTGGTTATGTAATTTTCATAGATTCCTTACAAAAAATTCATCTAAACAGATCCATGCCAAAGGAACTTCATTGTATGTAGTTGACTTTGGGAGGCTGAAAACTACCCTAAGCACAATTCATAGTTTACATGGGCCCTGCCAGGATTTTGCATACGTTGTCACGAAAGCTAGCATGCTAGCTGAGTTCTTCTTTGCTTTAGCAATTGGTAGTGGAATGAGCTGCGTGCCTCAAAGCTTGATATATCACACTAAGAGGGTGGCCTGGCCCCCCCACTCTAGCGTGATATATCACGCTAAGGACCCCCCCCTCCAGTTTGAATTTCAATACACGATGATGTTGGCTTGCTTGTAACCACCTTTCGATGCACATCGTTCCGTTCGATCAATTTTGTTTCACGCGAATTCACATGGCTCAAGGTTGAATGAAAACAGGTGCGCATAGACCGACACGCACAAATCGAGAAGTGTACCACTTTCGAAGCCGAGAAGATTTCCATCTTCCGTTTGTAATATTTTGCACCCGAAATCTAACTTTGGTAGCGGAGCTAATTGCTCCTTCGCTTCGCTCGACTCAGGTATTGCCACGCCAGCTTCTTCGTTCGTACTGGAAGCCTAGCACAGCATTCGTTTGCATCTTTGACTTTGTCTTTGGCACTTGCTCTACACTATCTCTACTACGACCACTTGAACTTCCACTTCCCTACACTTCACGAGATGGCAGATAGCTCACTATCGTCACAGCTCCCACTTCAGTCTTATAGCAAAGATGTCCCTCCTGGCTGGAAACCACGTCCGTACAGCATTGCCAAGTGGAAAGAACTCTTGGCCATTTGGTTGAGGTTGACCCGACTTGACCCAGAACAACTTGGTGCTGCTATCATCAGCTGTTTGGAAGGCCCTGCGTGGCAGACAGCCATGAACCTGGCGGACTATTTTGCAGCAGCCAAATGGCACCATCGTGCCGATTACTTACCGTGGCGTTGAAGCCGCATGCCTTGCAGAGACAACAGCCATCCTGAATCCGGCCACTGGAGTTATGGTTGTTCCAGCCTATCCTCCTGGAGCAAAGAGCTTGGTCCATTGGTTGATCATTTGATGACGCAGTTCTACATGAACGACCAGGATCGAGCATGGAGCTCTCTTGATGCCTTCTTTTCCACTCGCCAGCAACCTGGAGAACCTTTTGATGAGTTTTGCTCTCGCTGGGAACGCCTATTCACAGAAGCATGCGCGAATGCTAATCTTCAGACCAACGCAGTTTGCCAAGGATACCTCCTCTTCTCGCAGAGCACCCTGAGTGATCAACAGATCACGGACCTGCGCCTTCGAGTTGATGGAGACCTTAGCCGCTTCAGAGAGATGGTCACCTTGCAATCTCGCCTCAGCCGAAGCCAGGAAGTGATTCGAGACCAAGCCCAAGGATACCGTCAGTTTGGAGGCCCAGGTACATACCACCTGCAGGAAAACACTCCTGAGTCAGATGATTGGTATGACTGGTGGTTTGATGATGACTATGATCCCTATCACCATGACTAGTACAATGAAGATGACTGGTGGTATACTGATGATTGGTCTCCCTGGCCTTCTGAACAGCCAGATGATGAAGCTTCAGCATATGCTCCTGCTCCAACGCCTTCCTCTCCGACTACTACCACTGAAGACTTCTATGGCGGCAAGGGCAACAAAGGAAAAGGCAAGAAAGGCAAGTCCAAACAGCCTGCAGGATCCCAGTGCACCAATTGTGGGTCCAAATTTCACCGACCTGAGGATTGTCCTATGGCGCCACCATCTGTTGACAGCTCATCGATGCAGCGTGCCGCCAACCATCATGATCCTTGGTCAGAGCATTGGCAAGAAGATTACTATGGCGGCAAAGGCGAGCTCCTATCGTACTCGAGGCTTTGCTCCACGAGGCGTCCAGATGCCACATCGAAAAGGAAAAGGGAAGAGCAAGGGCAAGAGCAAGTCCTATGGCAAGTCCTTCGGAAAGAAAGGTCGTGGAAAAGGAAAAGGTCGAAAAGGAAAGGGCTTCTATGAATACAACTGGGATGATTACGATGTTGGGTACTTCGCCTCTCCTACCACATCCGTTGAGAATCCTGTGAGCATGTCCAAGCTCAACGACGATGATGCAGTTCTCACTCTCATGGAAGGTGAATATCCATATCCTGATGAAGGTGACTCTCCCGGCTATGCTGCAACTGGCTCTCCTTCTTCTTCGCCTACTACCAGACGCAGGCAGCCAGACTCCGCTGAGCCACTGCGGAAGAAGCAAATTCGCAGTGTGATTGGTTCGATCTATGGGCCATCAGCCAGCTCCACTGCACTCGTACCTCATGATTCACAACAGTTGCCAGCCGAACAACGACCATATCCCAGTACTGCTTTGCAATGACCTGTACCTGTGCAACGACAACCCATTCAGGAACATGACCTGATAGACTCCTGCTACAGTACAACCC